AGGGGTGGTGGCGCATGCTGTAATCCCAGCTACTGGGGAGGCTGCGGCAGGAGAACTGCTTGAACCTGGGAGGTGGAGGTTGCACTGAGCCGAGATGGCGCCCCTGCACTCCAGCCTAGGTGAAAAAGTGAGACTTCGTCTCAAAAAAAAAAAAAAAAAAGTTGTATAAAACCCACTATTTAGTTAATATACTCAAAAAGTGCTAGTATTTTATGAGACTGAATCATATGAAATTGCCAATTATTAAATGATTAAATCTAGAAAAATGTAAGCACTGCATTCCTTGTTTTGTATGATTCAGCATTCTCAAGAGTGCTAATCACATCTACCCATCTATCACAATGAATTACCTTGGATGTTGAGGACTGAGGTTCATTGAACATTTGTCAAACATTTTCTGGAGATTTTTCACAACACAGGTTATGTGCAAATCTAGGACCTCAACACTTACTAGGAAAGGAGTACTTAACATAACTACAGAAATTTTTACTTGTACTTTTCTTAAGCTTTTTAAATTTCTTTTTTTGAATTTTTTTTTTAGAAACAGGATCTTGCTCTGTTGACCAAGCTGGAGTGCAGTGGTGCAATCATAGCTCATGGCAGCCTTAAATTTCTGAGCTCAAGCCATCCTTCCACCTCACACTTCCACGTACAGGTGAGCACCACCATGCCTGGCTAACTAAAAAAAATTATATTTGTAGAGACAGGGTCTTGCTATATTGTCCAGGCTGGTCTCAAACTCCTGGCTTCAAGCAATCCTCCTGCCTGAGCCTCCCCAAGTACTGGGATTACTGGTATGAGCGCCACCGTACTTTTATCTTTCAGCAATCTACTATTTTTCTTTTCTTTTCTGTTTTTTTGAGACAGGGTCTCGCTCCGTTACCCAGGCTGACATGCAGTGGTATAATCTCTACTCACTGCAACCTTCGCTTACCAAGCTCAAGCAATCCTCCAGTCTCAGCCTCCCAAGGAGCTGGGACTACAGGCAAAAACTCAGAGAGCCACCACGCCCAGCTAATTTTTGTATTTTTTGTAGAGATGGGGTTCACCATGTTGGCCAGGCTGATCTCGAACTCCTGAGCTCAAAATGATCCACCCGCGTCTGCCTCCCAAAGTTTTGGGATTATAGGCGTGAGTCACTAAGCCTGGCCTATTTTTAATTCTTAACAAAAAATAACCCTGTTATCTGACGCATGGATTCACTACAGAATAAAGATTAAAGTCCATCAAGGCTTTCTAGTAACTCTAACTTAAAAACAAAGATCAATCAAGGCTAAAAACATTAAAGAGAGAGAGGCAATCAAATTTCTAGGATTATCTCATTCCTTTGCTCAAAACTCTTTAGTATCTTCTTACCTCAGAGTCAGTCCTACAGGCCCTTTCCTACTATTCTCTTCCCTCTTCTACTCCAGCCACACTGGGCACCTTGCTGTCCCTCAAACATGCAAGTACAGTCCTCTATTGTTTAATAACCAGGACGGATTCTGAGAAATGTGTAATTAGGCAATTTCATCATTGCGTGAACATCATGGAATGTACTTAAACGCACCTAGATGGTACGGCCTACTACACACCTAAGCTATATGGTCTATTTGCTCCTAGGCTGCAAACCTGTACAGGATGTTACTCCACTGAGTACCATAGGCAACTTTAACACAATGAAGTATTTGTGTATGTAAACATAGGTAAACATTAAAAAGTTACACAAAAAAAAGTATTCTATATAAGACCACTGTTAAGAGACAGAAATGTCATTTGGCACCTGACTGTATACTACTTCTCACCTCAGGGCTGTGCTGTTTCCCTCTACCACGAATGCTCTTCTTAAATATGGCTCACTTCATCTCTTTCTGATACCTGCTTAAATGTCATCTTCTCAAAATGGCCTTGTCTGACCAACTTATTAAAATAGTATCCCAACTGCAAGTCACTGTTTTCTTCCTAGTTGTCTGTCTTCCCCCCAATAGAATATAAACTATAAAAGGAAGAGTGGCCTTTGTTTTATGCGCTGCTCTATCTCCAGACCCTAGAACAGTAGCAGGTTCTCATAAGAATATGCAGAACAAGATGTTGCACAGTGTATATATATGCCTCCAATTAAAACTTCTGTCACAGATAACAAAAAAACCTAAGAAAACAGTTTGAAACCCTGCACGCTCTGCTACTTAGAATAAAGTAACTATGCTCTAGAAGGAAATGTTTCATTTTCAAAAAAATACACTTTAACAAATGGCTGGACTCCCAAAAGACAAAACAGTAACGCTAAGTGCATGCATGCTGCAATTCTGCTGATACAGAATGCTCTGGTTTATCACAAAGGACGTTCATTAAGCCATTTTCCCAGGAACCACGAAATTCTAGCCAAAGATTCTTAAGGAAAAATAGAGGCAGCGTTAACATTAAAGTAGTGATATATCGTGATTAGGAAACACACATTTCCTACTAGTTGAAACTTCATAGCACCAAGCAAGATAACCGGAAATCGGATCGGAAGTGTCTGCCCCACGGAGACACCGGGAGACAAAAAGTCCTCAAAGAACTGCACCTCCTTTTCTTGGCGCCAGGCTGGCTACTAGGACTCAGTCCGGAGATGCAGGGGGCGGTGTGGGGTTTGGGAGGAAGAGGCCTGGACTGCGAGTTTGGGGTGTGCCCAGGCCACCTTCCTCTCCCACTGATTTTCTCTCAAGAGAAAATGGAAAGTTGACTGCGCCTCCTACCCGCTCCCAAAAAGGACGGGGGGAGGGTTACTGAGGGTAGACCCCTCCCCTTCGCCTAGGCAGGCCTCGGCCCCAGCAGCGCTCCCCAGTCTCCAGCTCACCCGGCTCCCGGTTGATCTCGATGTCGAAGTGGCACTGCGGCCGGTCCTGCGCCCCCATCGCGACCGAGGTGGCGGCAAGAGCTGGGAGAGAAGGGGAGGAAAGCGGTCAGGGCAGGGGCGAGGGCGGGGGCGAGGGCAGGGGCGAGGGCGGGGCTGAGACGAAGTCCGCGCCACGGTGCCTCACGCCGGCCCGTCGCAACAGCGCAGGAGGCCAAGACGAGGCCCCCTCCCGCCCCAGGCCTCGCGGCTCCCACGCAGCGCGTACGCATGCGGGCGAGCTCTTCACCTGGCTGGCCTCCAGCCTGAGCGGGTCCCAGTGAGCAGAGGAGAAAGCACTGCCACTGCAGCCAGACCCCAACGCCGCTAACGGAACGCCACCTCCTCCTCCGGGCCCGGCCTCCCAATGCCACGCTAAATCCCGCGAGAGTCGGGACAAATACCGCGAGAGTACAGTCTAGATGGGGGTGGTCAACCGGAGGTGGTGGCAGCGGGGGCGCACGCTCGGGGGCGTGTCTGGGGAGCTCTCAAGGAGCCTCCAGCCGGCCCTCCTATACCTGCGCGCTCCCTGTTTGCCCCCCGCTTTGAAGTCAGTCGCCCAATGTGAAAGCCGTGGATGCGCCTGCGCCCTCCGTCTCGTCCGGCTGTGAGCGTCTGCGGCATTTTCGAATACCGCGAGACTTCCCTGTTTCTGAGCGCTGTGAAGGAGCTGAGTGAATTGAGGCTTTGAGTTTTCGTTAGCTAAGAGGTCGTGTCACTCTGTGTTCCTGTTGGCCGGGGATGGTTATGTCCGTGTCCTACTGTTAGGTCTTTTAGGCTGAGGAATGTGTTCCTTCCCGCTTTGGCACCAGCGTCACTGGCACCGTTTCTGTTCTGTGCTTACTGGCCATTCTGCATCTTTTCTGAAGTTTCAGTTCCAGTCTTTGCGCGTTTTTAAATCTGGTTCTTCGTGTTTAACAGCTCTGGATACAAATGTTTTGTTAGATAGATATATGTATGTTCTGAATAAAAACCGTTTGTTACATAAATGATTGCGAAGTCTTTCTCCCAATCTGGGCCTGTCGTTTCATTGTTTTGAATATGTTTTTGGCAAAGTTGTTTTTAATTCTGGTGAAGTCAATCTTTTATTGTTTGTGCTTTTTCTGTGCTAGGAAATCTCTGCCTACCTCAAGTTCATGAAGATATTCTGTGTTCTCATATATGTTTTACATAGTCTTTTACGTGTAAGTCTATGATCTAATAGCATTAATTTTTGCTTATGTTGTCAAGTGTCACATTTTCCTATCGGGATATACAGTCGTTCCATTACCATTTGTTGAAAAGACTCTTACACATTGAATTACCTTAGCCTTGTGACCATATTTGTGTGGGTCTATTTCTGGATTTTTGTTCCAATGATCTGTGTATCAGTACCACACTATCGTTTAAGTTTTTTAACTATAAAATATACATTACATTAAAGTTGCCATTTTAACCATTTTTAAGTGTACAGTTCACTGGCATTAATTGTATTTCACACGGTTGTGCAACCCTCAGTACCGACCATCCATCCACAGAACATTTTCCATCTTGCAAAACTGAAACTCTGTATCCATTAAACAGTAACTCCCCATTTCCCTCTTTTCCCAAGTTCCTGGCAGCCACTCTTCTACTTTCTCTCTGTAAATTTGTCTACTCTAGTATCTGCCTACTCATATTTGAGTAGAATCGTACAATATTTGTTCTTTTAGGCTGGGCGCGGTGGCTCACTCCTGTAATCCCTGCATTCTGGGAGGCCTAGGCGAGTGGATCACCTGAGGTCAGGAGTTTGAGACCAGCCTGGCCAACATGATGAAACCCCATCTCTACTAAAAATACAAAAAATTAGCAGGACGTGGTGGCGGGCACCTGTAATCCCAGCTACTCAGGAGGCTGAGGCAGGAGAATCGCTTGAACCCGGAAGGCGGAGGTTGCAGTGAGCCAGGATCATGCCACTGCACTCCAGCCTGGGCAACAAGAGTGAAACTCTGTCTCAAAAAAAAAAAAAAAAAAAAAAAATTGTTCTTTTGTAACTGGGTGATTTCACTTAGCATGTCTTCCATTTCATCCATGTTGTAGCATGTCAGAACTTCCTTTTTTGAGGCTGAATAATATTCCATTGTATGTATATATCATATTTTGTCTATCCATTCATGTGTCAGTGGATATTTAGATTGCTTCTACCTTCTGGCTATTGTAAATAGTGCTGTTATGAGCGTGGGTGTACAAATACCTCTTTGAAATCTGCTTTCAATTATTTTTTGTATATGCCCAGAAATGGAATCACTGGATCATAAACTAATTCTATTTAAGATTTGTCCAGGAATTACCATACTATTTTCCATAGCTGCAGTATTTTACATTTCCATCAGCAATGCAGAAAGGTTCCAATTTTTCCACATCGTCACCAACACTTGTTATTTTTTGGTTTTCTTTATTGCCATCCTAATGGATGTGAAGTGGCACACTGTTTTAATTACTGTAGTTTTATAGTAAGTTTGGAAATTGGGCTCACTTAGATTGGGTGTCCAATCTTTTGGTTTTCCTGGGCCACGTTGGAAGAATTGTCTTCAGCCATACATAAAATACCCTAACACTAACGATAGCCAATGAGCTTAAAATCGCAACAAAATCTCATAATATTTCTTGAAAATTTATGAATTTGTGTTGGGCTGCACCCAAAGTTGTCCTGGGCCACATGTGGCCCATGGACGGCGGGTTGGACAAGCTTGACTTAGATCATTTCCGATCTGTTTCTGCACCTATGTCACCTTTTTCTTTTGAGACAAAGTCTCGCTCCGTCACCCAGGTTGGAGTGCAGTGGCGCGATCTTGGCTCACTGCAACCTCAGCCTCCTGAGATCAAGCAATTCCCCTGCCTCAGCCTGCAGGGTAGCTGGGAGTACAGGCACGCGCCACCACGCCTAGATAATTTTTTTGTATTTTTAGTAGAGACAGGGTTTCACTATGTTGGCCAGGCTGGTCTCGATCTCCTGACCTCGTGGTCTGCCCGCATTGGCCTCCCAAAGTGCTGGGATTACAGGGGTGCGTCACCGTGCCCCGACACCTATGTCACCTTTTTAAAGTGCAGTCAAACCTTTGGTACTTCACACCATCACAGAAGTGCTGTGGTTTGTCAGAGCTTGCCCATCCTACCTCCCTGAGAGTCCGGTGTGTCTATTAGAGGAGCAGTCTCTAGGCTGAATTAAGAAGCTAGCGGTCTTAGATCTGATTTGCTGACAGTTAAGATTTGAACAGTATGAAATCTACATGCCTTTCTGGAGATGAAATAGTTTGATAAAGCTAACTTTCATACATGGATTCATGAAAGGAAAGGACGGAGAGCACTGCCCAGCTTTGTAATGACTGTGTTCAGGACAGCAGGCTTCAATGTAAATAGGTTTTAGAGCTCAGGAATGAGACATTTAATTTGGGATGTACTTAAAGAACTTTAATTCTGGAATTCGTTCTTATCTTGACATTCCAATAATTCTCATCTTTCTGCCACTGGTTATGTGACCTGAGACAAATCACTTTGGTCTCTCAGAAGTTTACTTTCTTCATCTCTAAAATAAATGAGATAAAATATCTCCTTTCTAAGGTCCTGCCTCTCTCAAAGATTATTTTATTCTGTCCTGTGATTTGAAATTGTATTTTAGATGATTGGAAGATAAAGTATGCAATTTGGTCTGTGCTTAAGGTGAAGAAACTACTGGGACAAGGCAGGCCTAGGGCCAGTATCAACCAAAGGGACTGACACCTCCCCCATCTCTTCCAAGAGTGGTAGAAAGTTGGTATCCAAAGAGTTTACAAACTCAGACTTAATTTGTCTATGATTTACCATGAAGGAGAACGATTGGTAGTACGAATTTTCAGGTAATTATTCTGGGTGTTTAGCCTTTTAGAGTGTGATAACGCCAGCAATTGGAGCTCCAGGGGCTAGGACTCTGGAAAACAATCAAGAATGTTAGTGGGGAAACAGACAAAATAATTTCCTAGAAAACAGAAATGATCAAAATTGACTCAAAAGAAATAGAAGTCCTGCATAAACCAATAATCACTGAAGACATTGAATTAGTAATCCTAAATCTCCAGACAACTGTGGAAGACATTTTGAGACAAATGGGAAATTTGATTATGCTCTAGATGTTAGATGAGACCAAAGAAGTATATTTAATTTTGTTAGATGTGATAATGAAATTTTGATTATGTAAGAATATGTGGTGTGGTGGTTCTCACCAGTAATGCCAGCAATTTGGGAGGCCAAGGCAGAGGATCACTTGAGCCCAGGAGCTAGAGACCAGCCCTGGCAACATAGTGAGACCCTGTCTCTGCAAAAAATTTAAATACTAGCTGGGCATGGTGGCACACACCTTTAGTCTCAACTTCTCAGGCGGCTGAGATGAGAGAATTGCTTGAGCCAGGAGTTGAAGCCTTCATTGAGCTGTAATTGTACCACTGCACACCAGCCTGGACGACAGATTTAGACCCTATCTCCACCACTGCACGCCAGCCTGGACAAAGATTAGACCCCTATCTCTAAAATGTAAAAATGAAAAAGAGAAATGTCTTTGTCCCTTGTCCTTGTTTTTTTTTTTTGTTTTTTTTTTTTTTTTTTTTTTTGGAGATGGAGTCTCGCTCTGTTACCAGGCTGGAGTGCAAGACACGATCTCAGCTCACTGCAAACTTCCGCCTCCTGGGTTAAAGCGATCCCGCTGCCAGCCTCCAAAGTAGCTGGGACTACAGGCGTGCACCACCATGCCTGGCTAATTTTTGTATTTTAGTAGAGACGGGGTTTCACCATGTTGGCCAGGATGGTCTTGATCTCCTGAACCTCGTGATCCGCCCGCCTTGGCCTCCCAAAGTTCTGGGATTACAGGTGTGAGCCACCGCGCCCAGCCATCCTTGGTTTTTTAGAGATGCATACTGATGTATATAGGAATGAAAACACATGACATCTGGGATTTGCTTGCAAATACTTCCCCCCTCCCCCAGAGGGCCATCTTGCCCACAAATGATCAAAGGTTAGTTCTGGCACCACATGAGTAAACAAGCTATTTAGATAAACTCCTTTACATTCCTTTGTACCTACTCTAAGTTATTTACTCAAGGTAAGGATTAGGCTACCTTCAGCCAGATCTATTACTGCAGCTTATGCAAATTCCCCCAGCCTTCCAAGAAGGTATGAGTCTATTTCTTATAACTATCTTTAATTTTTTTCCCACCAGCCTGACTGAACTCCCACAATGAGAGAGCTTGGATCTCATCAAATTCATATGAAAAAACCACTGCAACAAACACTTCTTGTCAAATAGGGTCCTTACTCATTTAATATTGACCCTATTTGTTTGCTGATTTCATCCCTTAAATTCTGCTTTGAATCCTTGGCTCTTACTCTTTTTCTGGAAATTACCTTTGCCAAGCAGATTGG